ATTTGGAAAACAAATACAAACCCTGCATTAAAAATGTTGGGATGCTGAGAATCGGTTTGTTTTTTTGGAAAGGAAAAAAAGTGCTCTATGCCACAACTTTTGTCTATTAAAGGGATAGTTCACCCAAAAATGAAACTGTGATGTTTATCTGCTTACCCCCAGGGCATCCAAGATGTAGGTGACTTTGTTTCTTCAGTAGAACACAAACGGAGATTTTTAACTCAAACCATTGCAGTCTGTCAGTCATATAATGGAAGTGAATGGAATCACGGCTTAGAGTAAAAAAAACATACACAAACACAACCAAATGAAACCCTGCGGCTCGTGACGATACATTGATGTGTAAAGACACGAAAAGATCGATCTGTGCAGTATTTATATAGTTTTTTACCTCTGATGCACTGCAATGTCTGAACTGTCCTGAGCGCGTTCTCAACAGCTGGCGCGTGACGCGTCTTCTTCTTCTTCTTCCTGCTTTACAGCAGATCGCAGACTTATAAATGCATTACTGCCACCTATCTCTCAAGTGGACTATTGACACTATCTACAATCTCAATTTTGTTTATGTATGTTTTTTTGACTCTCAAAGCCATGATTCCCATTCACTTCCATTATAAGACTGACAGACTGCAACGGTTTGAGTTAAAAATCTTCGTTTGTGTTCTACTGAAGAAACAAAGTCACCTACATCTTGGATGCCCTGGGGGTACGCAGATAAACATCACATTTTCATTTTTGGGTGAACTATCCCTTTAAGTCCAGAAGTAATATAGGCCAGGGGGAGATGTGCTGTGCCAATGAAATACTCAGGATGGGAAACATTATTGACTATAGTTGCGGGACAAGCTGTACAAATGTAAAGGGTTTATAAGCCGTTTAACAGCAGTACAGCAGTGGCAACAATCTCAAGTGATATGAAATGTCTTGGAGGATCTCATGTGTGCCGCCAAACAAGGCAGAAAAAGTATCTCCCAGGAGGCATGTATGTCATACACAGCACTTGACCTCTAAAACTTTTTGTTTTAGAGCAAGTCTTTTTGACATGAGCATGTGTAACACAGAGGGTACTTGATCTACAGATTTTTTAAGACTTTGTTTTGACAGTGTGTGTATATATATATATATATATACACACTAAGCTATTGTTTAAAAGCTTGAGTTCAGTAAGCTTTTTTTATGTTTTTGACAAAAAAAGTCTCTTATGCTCAAGGCTGCATTTATTTGATCATATATGCAGTAAAAACGGTAATATTGTGAAATATTATTACAGTTTACAATAACTCTTTTCTATTGTAATAAAATGTAAATGTAAAATGTAATTTATTTCTGTGATGGCAAAGCTGATTTTTTTAGCAGCCAACAATATAGTTCCTCACGATCACTCACGATCCTTCAGAAATCATTCTAATATGCTGATTTGGAGCTCTACTTTTCAACATTTCTTTTATAATATCAATGTTGAAACATGTACAGCTACTTAATAAAAAAAATATAAAAAAAACGTGATTCTTTGATGAATCATATGAACAGCATTTATTTGAACTAGAAACCTTTCATAAAATATAAATATCTAATGCCACTGTACTGATGAATACAATGCATCCTTGCTGAATAGAAGTATACATTTCTTGTTTTCATAATATTTACGTATAACACACTAAAATAATACCAGTGTCAATAAAAAGGTACTTTAACCCTGTTTATTGGGCTGTGGTGGTGCAAAATACACAAAAAAGGTTGGAAATAAACTGCCAGTCCACTTTATTATAAGAAAAGTAGCTAGAAAAAATGAGTGTGCAAAGTTTCCCACTGTGACCTCACAGGCAGTGTGTGATTGGCTGGCCTCCGAGCCGGTGACTCAGCTCTCATAAATCTGATTGGATGTCTGCAGTGTGGGGACCAGCAAAGCAGCCATCCAGAAAGGTGCAGCTTCAAAGATGGATTCAGCTCTCATAAATCTGATTGGAAGTCTGCAGTGTGGGGACCATATATCTGGGGAAAATTTGATATATATGTGACCCTGGAGCACAAAAGCAGTCATAAGCAACATGGGTATATTTGTAACAATAGCCAACAATACATTGTATGGGTCAAAATTATCAATTTTTCTTTTATGCCAAAAGGATATTAAGTAAAGATCATGTTCCATGATGATATTTTGAAAATGTCCTAAATATATCAAAACTTAATTTTTGATTAGTAATACTTTAAAGACAAAGTACTTTTAAAGACAACTTTAAAGGTGATTTTCTCAATATTTTGATTTTTTTTGCACCCTCAGATTCCAGATTCTCAAATAGTTGTTTCTCAGCCAAATATGGTCATATCCTAACTTTTAATATGTTTTTTACTGATCAAAAACACAGTATCAAGTAATAGTATAAAATATTATAACGATTTAAAAAATTGTTACAATTATTGAAATTCATTTATAATTAAAGATCAACATGAATTTAACATTAATAATGTTATTTTTTAATATAGTTTTATCATTATTATTTACATTGGAATAAAAAGGGTGGATAATGTGTCTGTGGTGTATTTCTACACAACCAAAAAGTAAAAGCCAATCATGCCCATCAAATTTAAAATTCAAATATATACGAAGCAAATGCGGTCACTCCACTGGTAGCAATTTAAATGATAAATATCAGTCCCTTTGCTTACACCACAACACATGAATACACAAGTGTCCATTTTTGACCCGTCATCCAACCACCCACAAAACACCAACCCAACCCCATCATTCTTTCATCAGAACATTAATCAGGGATTTTTTTCTCTCTCCTCTGACTGGTAGATGTTTGATGGATGAACGCTGTCTGAGGGGGTGATCGCTCTTCACCACTCCGTCACCTTCCTCTGATCATTATCCACAATTATCCCTGATACATCCCCCCCCTCGACTGGAATAACTCAGCCCAAGTCAAGCATTCATCTTGTTAATGACAGAGAATGAGCAGAAAGCTGGAGAGGATGGAGGGCGGCACAGGATGAATCTGAGCTGGCTTTTTCTGGGCCACGGTGCAGCATCTACACAGAACTATACTTCTTCAGTTGCATCCCACAGAAGAAAACTCATGCAGGGTCAGCAGCTTGCGTGTCTTGACTATGGATGGGCTCTGACTGTCACTGTGGAACGTAATGGTCAAGGTTACTTTAAGGAGATGAACAACAGTAGCGAGAGTAGGGATATGCACTCTGCATCTCACTATAAATGAAGTGGAACAAAGAAAGAAAGAAACACTTGAACTCATCATTCTAAACCCCGGGTAAATTGAGTAATGGTTTATCTTGCTTCACCTTTCACACAGTTCATAATTTACCCTGGGCTAACAATTTATACTCGGTAATCATATCATACTGTACACTGTTAATGTTCTTACATGTACTGTTTTTATAATGGCTCTAGCATTGCCCATCATCATGTTACAGTATATATTGCAGAATTTACTATTAAGTTTTTCCTGAATTGCATTTTCTGACTATAAAGGTAATTAAACGGTCACTTCTTCACTCCAGTTGACTCATTTTCAGTCATCATTTGACTTTTTCCCCTCAACTGCTAAAAGACGACTGTTTATATGCATTTTTCTGTGGCAGGGGTAAAACCCAGGGTAAAAAGTGCGTCTAATTCCACTTCTAAATTACAAATGTGTAGGGGTGTAACGGTACACAAACAAGACGGCTCAGTTTTGACGTCACAGTTCTGTATGATTTTGGTACAGCAAACTTTTTCTTTTTTAATTAAACAGTGGTTTACTGAAAAAAAAGCTATTTAAATAAATCCAATTAAAATTTTCTATAGGGACAAAAATCTGCCTCGGCTTATGCTCTAAACTATAGGGAGCCCTTTCACATTATTATTATACAGTTACAGTTAACAACCGAGCTCAAACTTAAATTTAGTTGCTATTTATTTTTAAATATATTAATAAACACTCAAAAAATTGTATGCAAACATGTAAATTGCACACGATGCTGTTTTTAAATTAACTTCTAAATTATAAATTAAATAAGACATCACTAACAGGTTAAGTAAATGTATATGGTCTAATATTTCACGAAATGCTCTTCTCTTTACCTGGGTTAAGAGCATGGTTTAGAGCGGCAGTTAATGTAGTCCAGTTTAAAGCAATAGTTCATCCAAAAATGAAAATTCTGTCATTTACTCTCCCTCAAGTTGACGGTAGCCATTGACTTCCATAGTATTTTTATTTCCCAAGTATGGAAGTCAATGGCTACAGTCAACTGTTTAGTTAATCACATTCTTCAAAATATCTTCTTTGTGCTCAACAGAAGAAAGAAACTCGTACAAGTTTAGAACAACTTGAGGATGAGTAAATGATAACAGAATTTTCATTTTTGGGTCAATTCTTTAAGAAATGTATTGGGTACAAATGTTTTTTTTCCCCCACAGTGGTGAAAAATTATTTTTCTATTAATTTCAGGCTTTTCTTCTTAAATAAACTAATATACTGGAGTATGACACTATCACAAGACATAACTTTTATCACCTGCATGTGTCAGAAACGTGTGATAACCACAGGTCTGACTTGGAATATCATCACACACACACACACACACACAAAATGATTCTTCCTCTAATATATTCCATATCTATAGCACTTCCGCTTCATCGAGTGCCATCCTAATCCAACACAAGAATATAATGAGAAGACTTAAAGCTGTTTCTATTATCTGAGCTGCCTGGTATTTGTAATTCTCCAAAAACACGAGTGTGTGATTCACAGCACAGGCTGCGAGTGTTTTTCAATCCAGGCGCGTCAGCGACAGGTGACACTTGTATAGGTGTATATTGGAAGCAGACAGGCTAGGGAAAGACTGCTGCTTTAATAATGTCGAGGTGTTTGAGCCTTGAAAGAGCACTTTAAAATCTTTCTGACGCTGAGAGAGAAAGGACAAAGTTCGGTGAAGGACAGACTGGGAAAATAGTAAGACAGATAAGCACTGAAAGAATGATGGAGAACTGGGCAATATGGGGTCTGCGCTGCATTTATTATTCAAATGTGTGGCATGCTGATTGTGAGGGAATATTTGGCTCTGCAACTGCCACTATCTGAAATTATTAAAAAAAACATTTGGGCATCATTTACATAAATTAATAAATGAAGTCAATTTTCACCTCCCTCCAAGGTGCAAGGCAATTTGACTCAAATTATGAACAGGTTTGAACCAGTGGCAAGGTTGTGAGTGACGTGGGGATGCTGTAATTGTAGAAATCACTGCAAAATTGAATTTGTCACAGAGAAATGTCCAGTTCAAAAGCCAAATTTACAGAAGGATACTCACAGCTGTTGGGTCTTTTTTGTGCATTTGGGCTGCGGTGAGCTGTTTGAATGAACCAGGGTAGCTGTGGGATGAAAAAGCAGGTCTTTAGTTTTTCAAATCAGACCTATAAGTCACATTCTAAACATTTTGGAAAGCAGCATATTGTTTCTATTACATGCACCATGCATATTGTAAATTGGGTGGGTCCGATCTCAGATTTCCTTTTTCGTTTTTGCTCTTTGTCAGCACAAAGAAAACACAGCTGAGAGCATTATTTTATGAAAGATTATAAAAAGCATGTCCTCTGTCCTCAGTTGAGCTAGAATGTGGAAGGAGAGAGCTCTGTTTACCCAGTGTGAGACGAATACACTTTCTGTTCCCATTTATTTCCAGAGAAAGCGATGTGTCTGGTGTTCATGACTACCACATGGTCTCCAATATCACCTGGGAACAAGACATGTACATGATACATTTTCACATTCAGCTTGAACTCTTGACATTACTCAGTGGAATTTAACGTGTAAAGTATTGGTTCTTTGTCAAGTCAATACTAACATTATATGCTACTAATGCATAAAGTACAGAAAATAATTACTATTTGCCAAACAAAAAGATAACGTCTACTCTTCATTTTTTTTCCTGCATTTTTATGACTGTTTTCTTCAACAATTACTTGGAAGTCATAATAATGATAATAACAATAATGTAAACAGATTTAAATATCTAAATATATACATAAATAAATTAATATTAAATGTATTATGTATTATACTTATGTATATATATTAGGGATGGGTCACGATTTTCGAATATTCGATTAGTTGATTTAATTATAGAATATCGAATAGGTTGTGCAATTATTGTCTTAAGAAATGTTCCCATGTTTTCCGTGCTGATGCGGTGGTGACGCAGAGGGTGGCGCTGCCAATAATGCACCTAAAAGCAGTCAAAGACAACAGAAGAGCACATTGTCTCACGCGCACACTGTAGACTTGCGTGGCATAAAAAAAAAGACTTGCGTAGCATATAAAGTAACTTGGGACAATGTCAAATAAGAGTGCTGTGCAGACCACAAATACCCCCAACTGGGTCACTGTAGCTGAATCCGTGTTCAGAAGGGCGCGGAAAACAAATAACGCGTTCTATGGAGCCACTAAAGGGACATGGTTAGCCGCTTGCTAGCGGTAGCCTGTTACATTACAGTACATAACATTTCACTTACCACATAAACAGAGTAAGGAGAGATGACTGATAGGATGATGGTGAATGATTTGCAGATCCTGAGCACCACTGACAAACATCTAATCTTGTAAAATGTGTGGTGAAAGAGCACTTTAAAATCTTTCTGACGCTGAGAGAGAAAGGACAAAGTTCGGTGAAGGACAGACTGGGAAAATAGTAAGACAGATAAGCACTGAAAGAATGATGGAGAACTGGGCAATATGGGGTCTGCGCTGCATTTATTATTCAAATGTGTGGCATGCTGATTGTGAGGGAATATTTGGCTCTGCAACTGCCACTATCTGAAATTATTAAAAAAAACATTTGGGCATCATTTACATAAATTAATAAATGAAGTCAATTTTCACCTCCCTCCAAGGTGCAAGGCAATTTGACTCAAATTATGAACAGGTTTGAACCAGTGGCAAGGTTGTGAGTGACGTGGGGATGCTGTAATTGTAGAAATCACTGCAAAATTGAATTTGTCACAGAGAAATGTCCAGTTCAAAAGCCAAATTTACAGAAGGATACTCACAGCTGTTGGGTCTTTTTTGTGCATTTGGGCTGCGGTGAGCTGTTTGAATGAACCAGGGTAGCTGTGGGATGAAAAAGCAGGTCTTTAGTTTTTCAAATCAGACCTATAAGTCACATTCTAAACATTTTGGAAAGCAGCATATTGTTTCTATTACATGCACCATGCATATTGTAAATTGGGTGGGTCCGATCTCAGATTTCCTTTTTCGTTTTTGCTCTTTGTCAGCACAAAGAAAACACAGCTGAGAGCATTATTTTATGAAAGATTATAAAAAGCATGTCCTCTGTCCTCAGTTGAGCTAGAATGTGGAAGGAGAGAGCTCTGTTTACCCAGTGTGAGACGAATACACTTTCTGTTCCCATTTATTTCCAGAGAAAGCGATGTGTCTGGTGTTCATGACTACCACATGGTCTCCAATATCACCTGGGAACAAGACATGTACATGATACATTTTCACATTCAGCTTGAACTCTTGACATTACTCAGTGGAATTTAACGTGTAAAGTATTGGTTCTTTGTCAAGTCAATACTAACATTATATGCTACTAATGCATAAAGTACAGAAAATAATTACTATTTGCCAAACAAAAAGATAACGTCTACTCTTCATTTTTTTTCCTGCATTTTTATGACTGTTTTCTTCAACAATTACTTGGAAGTCATAATAATGATAATAACAATAATGTAAACAGATTTAAATATCTAAATATATACATAAATAAATTAATATTAAATGTATTATGTATTATACTTATGTATATATATTAGGGATGGGTCACGATTTTCGAATATTCGATTAGTTGATTTAATTATAGAATATCGAATAGGTTGTGCAATTATTGTCTTAAGAAATGTTCCCATGTTTTCCGTGCTGATGCGGTGGTGACGCAGAGGGTGGCGCTGCCAATAATGCACCTAAAAGCAGTCAAAGACAACAGAAGAGCACATTGTCTCACGCGCACACTGTAGACTTGCGTGGCATAAAAAAAAAGACTTGCGTAGCATATAAAGTAACTTGGGACAATGTCAAATAAGAGTGCTGTGCAGACCACAAATACCCCCAACTGGGTCACTGTAGCTGAATCCGTGTTCAGAAGGGCGCGGAAAACAAATAACGCGTTCTATGGAGCCACTAAAGGGACATGGTTAGCCGCTTGCTAGCGGTAGCCTGTTACATTACAGTACATAACATTTCACTTACCACATAAACAGAGTAAGGAGAGATGACTGATAGGATGATGGTGAATGATTTGCAGATCCTGAGCACCACTGACAAACATCTAATCTTGTAAAATGTGTGGTAAGTACTGCCCAGTGCTGCTCAGTATGTGTGATGGCAAATTTCAATGCCCCGCATATGAATAACGGCTCCCTGATGCCCATAGTTTATATAGCCTACAGTATAATTGCCCAACGATATAATTTATAGAAAATTTAAATGGAAATATCTTAGCCTTATGAGCAGTTGATTTATGCTAATCGACGGACTGTTATGTTAATAAGTGCCGTCATTCGGTTATGTTTATTAAATTAATATGTTTAAGCAGGCAAATCTCGAAAGTAAAAAACAAGCGTGGGTTCAAAAGCAATTTCAATGCCCCGCATATGAATAACGGCTCCCTGATGCCCATAGTTTATATAGCCTACAGTATAATTGCCCAACGATATAATTGATAGAAAATTTAAATGGAAATATCTTAGCCTTATGAGCAGTTGATTTATGCTAATCGACGGACTGTTATGTTAATAAGTGCCGTCATTCGGTTATGTTTATTAAATTAATATGTTTAAGCACGTTACAATGATTATATGGCTTGAGTTAAGGTAGCCTATCTTCTGAATTAAACAGTTTATCATACAGATTGGGTGTTTGTGCGTGAATGCGTGGGAGGGGGGGGAGTGGGGGGTGCGATTTTTGAATAATACCCAGCAATTTTCTAATATTATTTCCCTAATATATATATATATATATATAAACAACACCTATACAGTATACATGTATATACAACATATAAACATATATTCTTACATATAATATATAGATATAAGTTAAGAAAATCACGAAAATAAAAAATGCATTTTGTAATTAATATTAATAAAATACAGTGGACAGACAATAATTAAATCCACTGTTCTTAATACATTTTTTTATTCTTTATTCTTAATACTGCATTTTTTCTTGAACAATTACTAGGAAAAAACATACCACTGTTCTAATTACTACTAATACTAATACTAATTACTATTATTACCATTATTATTAACTAAAATTATTGTAATTATATAATATATGAATATGTAATTATTATTATTAACATTTTGTAACTAATAACAACAACAACAATAATATTAATAATAATAAGTAGGTTCAACTGCATATTAGCAATGAATGTATTAACATTTCTAACTATCTATCTATCAGCTACTAAAAATTTGGTATTGTGACAGCCATCGACGATATATATGCACACGCACTCCTTCAGTTAAAACACTATTTCTCTCTGAATGTGAACATCCATGTTGTTGAAGATTAAAGATGAAATGAAAAACAAAGGCTAGAGGAATCTAATATAACACTGAATTTATGATTAAACATTTACACAGGTTTAACTGAACAACTGAAAAAATCCTAGCCAAAATGATCTATTCCTTCAAACCCAGTAAATGAAAACACGGCCCCCTCCTTCCTCCGACTTTGCTGCCTATCAGAATAACTGCACAGCCCTGAATTTTCATCTCTTGGCCTGTTATGCACATTCATCTATCAGAGAGTGAGAGTTTCATTAAAAACTCCCAGCATGTCTCGGGAAGGAAGCACCATCAGCAGGGTCTGGGAGTGAGCTGCAGGCACATGCAGCGTGCATCTCCAGACTAATGTATCAATTCCAGAGCCTGTCGGAGTCAGAAGTCATGACACCTTACATCTCTCCGGAATTAGCTGCCACACTAGCAGCTTTTCACATTCACATCAAGGGAAGAACTGTAATTCCTGTCAGGAATTTATACGAATAAATCCTGAGAATGATTTTGCAGCATGTTTACTCGTGCAATTTGAAAACATTCTTATTAAAGATTCAGCCTTTCATGTTGGGTGTTACATAAATTACCATTACAGATGGTATCCTTAAGTCCTTAACATAAACACAGAATACAATGTGCAATATCCCATTTATAATATACAGAAACAGCATAGTACACATAATGGGACAATGTCAACTAAAATAAAGGCGGTTTGTTTTCACATATACGAATAGGGAAATGCCAATATTTTAAACAGTGGTCGTTTACTTCCATCTTGTGGCCATTCGGCTACTTCACATTCCCAGCCAATTCATAACAATGAATCAATGAGGTGGGAGATGAATAGAAAGGCCTTCAGTTGGCTTAGTCAACATATTTACTCACTCATTGGATGGTAAATGGGTTTATGCTTTCCTTGAAGACGCACTGAACACATAGAGGCGATCTTTCCAGGAGGCTGCATCCTAGCGTCTATTAGGAACCAGGATCTGGCAAAGGTCGCCCATTGCTTATGGGGAAAAAGAGAAAGCCATTTATGAAATGCAAACTGATTTTTTTTTTCAATGACCGAACACAATCGGTTCGCAATAACTAATAGTTGGAAGATTTTAATCAGATGACAGATCAGTCAACGTTCAGTTTAATGCAAGAAAACACGATGCAATGAAAGTGAATGGTGACCGAGGCGTCCATAACATCCCGCTTAACATTTCCTTTTGTGTTCCACAGAATAAATAATATCATGTAACAACATGAAGTTGAGAAAAACATTTTTTTATTGTCGGGTGAACTGTCCACTTTACCTGTCACCGGTCAACTAATGCATTAGTACACGTTTACTACATTCACTCATTTTCAACGCTACACTACAATAGATCTCATTTCTAATGCTAATTAAATAAATAGATCCATGCACATAAGTGCAGACACTATACACATTATACGAGCGCACAAGTTCAATAGAAAGATCACGTTTTCCATAAATAAGCATCGGATGACAGCGTAGTATATTTATGGCATTTGACCAGTATGACAGTAAGCCATAATAAACAGCTTACCTGGGCTGATCTCGAAAAACTAGACATTTTAAATAAGCATTTGGTAAATTTGACCTCAATGTGGCTGAAGTGGTACAGCAGCAATTAACTTCCCCCCCGACCAACAGAATGAAAATGTGGTTCCATATTTCAGTCATAATTGTAATGCTCTCAGATTATTTTACATTGATAATATTATTTGAATAACAATAAGTATATGATTTTAATTTGTGTTTAGTTCACTCCCATCTCCACGTATTGTTATTTATAAGCGTGTTTTAATCTGTTCCTAGCGACTGTATTTTTTGGTAGCGCGCGCGTCACCGTCACGTTATCTTCGAACGTCCGCGTTGGTTGTAAACGCGCGTAAATGTGTTTTGTGCTGTGTGTGGAGTCTGTGTGGAGCTGCAACGAGTTTACATTAGCTTGCATCAACACGGCAGCATACAGTTATGGACAGATACGTGCTAGTTGTTATAATCGAGCTAGAGCCAAAGAAAGAGGGCTCTTTTAACGGTAAGAGGACGCCGCAATTGATATCAGCAGTGGTCAGAAGTGCTGCTTTGGCTGTTTTGACATGTAACGTTAACGTTATTGGTTTAATTGCAGGGGTTGATGAAACCAAAAAGGTGTTTGGTAACCTCAAGAACATTTCTAATTCGAATTTAACGCGCATTCCTCCATTTCCAGGTAGGTTTATGCATTTTAACCTCATTTGCCTCTCATTTTCCATAAGTTTTGGTGTGAAGCTTGACTTTGTGTTTGTTTAAATTCATTTAGCCTGCTCTCTGAGTGGTAGTCCTGGCCCACAGAGATGGTACTTTGCCATTCAAGCCAGTTATGGTACAACACAGGTAATTAACACATGCACATTTGCTTCTTGTTTAGTGCATTTGGGCAAGTTACTTCCAAAATGTAATACGTTATATATTACTAGTTACTGTCTTTTGAAAGTAATTAGTTACATTGCAATATTACTGTCTCTGAATTGTAATGCGGTACACTACTTTTGAGTTACTTTCACCACAATATCCACAGAAGTATTATAAAATGCCCAAATGTAGTTTATTGCTGCTCATTCTACACCCAGTGGAGGGTAATGTGGTAGGTATATGTAGCATACAATTATAAAATCATATTTAGATGCCGGTGTTCCGGTGAATTCATTTCCCTGTTTCCCCTCACAGCGCCTGCGCAACTTCGCAGTGTTGCCAAGTCCGCGGTTTTCCAGCGGTAGTTTGTAGTAGCAATTGGGCGTTTCTTTTTTATATATCCTGGCAACCCTGAAACTTCAGTACTAAAATCATGACTTCGCTGACGAAGGAATTTAACTGTCTAATTGTAATGAATGGTGTTACACTTCATAAAACAGGCAAACGTTAGAATTAGCAGGAAATCTGACTCTATGTTGCGATTGAACAGGACGTCACGTACATTAATACGTATTTAATTACAAATGATCTAATTAACATGGTGAAATGAACGTTGCTTGCAGAAAGACAGCAAAACCACCATAAGCTGACTTGCTTAGCCGGGGCGAAATCATGACGTCATGATTTTAGTACTGAAGTTTCAGGGTTGCCAGGATAATTTAAAAAAAACGGCCAATTGCAACTAAAAACTACCGCTGGAAAACCGCGGACTTGGCAATACTGCGAAGTTGCGCAGGCGCTGTGAGGGGGGAAACAGGGAAACTGAATTCACCGGAACACCGGTATGTAGGACTAGTTTAGGTTAAAAACAGATACGCAGAAACCGCATTATTACATTCATAAATAACACCGGTAAATAAAGCGAAATGTTATAATGTACAAACAATAAACACAATAACTAGCCTATAGGCAATTTTGAACGGTTTCAGAAGAAACAAGAATGAAAAATATAAGTTGCTAAACAAGCTAAAACGAATTAGGCTAATCAGTGGCGGCGCTAGGGCGGGGCTTGACGGGGCCCATCAGAAACTTGCTTAATTTACAATGTTTCCTAATGAGGTTCCCTTATTTTTGGTGTCACTTTCATTAACATTGAAAAATAAACATAAAAAAAGTGCCTAATATGTGGCCTATAAACGATTGATATTATGGGGGCGGGGTCAAGCAACACAAGCAAGCAACGCGCAAACTGTGCGCAAGCATTATGCCGGTGAACGTCAGTACACTCACTATAGAGAAAGTGAAAGTAAAAAGACTGACGGCGCTTTCTAACGCTGCATTAATGGCGCATATTCTCTTAGACAACAAGAGACAAAATTACTTCAATATAGGCTGATGATGGTATAGATCTGTCTTAAATTATTCCCTTAATATTTCTCTTGTGGCCCGTAGCCTATAGTGAAAAACATGAGAAGAAACGTATTTCGCGTTAAACGGGTTGTTTTTGAAAATCTGTGCACGAAATAAAGCTGCTCTTAATTTTCATCGATGACTGCAGTGTTAATAATTTTAATTATAGGCCTATAATTCAATTGTATAAATTAATAGACCTGTTTAAAAAAAAATATTGCGGCGCAATAATTTCATGTAATTTAACAATAAAAGTAACCTAATAATAATAATAGGCCTAATAATAAGAATGTAACATTACTTGGAAATGCTAAATCCTCGTAATATTGCCAATTTTTGATGCTTTGTTTTGACAATATCTCTGGCTATCGTCGACACATGATACGACGCATCTCAGCACGGGGAAGTTATCACATCATTTTACATATAGACTATGATTTAATAAAAACAGATTTTGTTATTTTTAGTTCAACTTAATTTGTGTTGCTTGTCTGCGCTCGTCGCAGCCTTTTTTCTCTTCTCTGACCCCGCAGCTCTCTCTGATAGCTTACTGTTAGTGGCACCAGTCCAGTGTTTCCAGGTTTTACTCGTGCTATTTCTCCATGTTGAGAGTTTGGTGTCGCACATATTGCTAAGCATTCTTATCCTTTTCTCCGATGAACTGAAAATAACAGGAGTGTGTCCATCTCACAAATGTAGAATCCGTCTCTGCAGTCATCTCAAACATCTCATTCCAGCAACAGAAGATAGACGAAATATTTTACCCGCGGAATTTTTTCTCTGGTGCTGTTTTGCGGTGTTAGTAATATGTTGCTGTAACTTGCGTTACTGAGATTGTAACGAGTAATAATATTACCCAAATTTTATTAGTAATGCGTTATATTACAGCGTTACAGCAAAACGTAATATACTACTGTAATATTATTACTTCTGTAATGCGTTACTCCCAACACTGGTTACAAATGACATAAACTGGGTCTGACAAACATAGGTTATTATAAAAGTAATAATGTAGATTAGTTCAAGGGTGTTTATTAAAATAAATATGTAAACCGTAAAATTAGATTCAAAATAAAAAAATGAATAAATAATAAAAATCTGAATAAAATAATGAATATGCATCTAACAGTTCAGTACTATAGTGAGTAGAAAAAATATTTGAACCTAATAGAAACTAAATATTTTCTGAATAGTACATATTATAGTATTGTACTAGTATGATATATATTATAACAATTTAAATTAGTATAAATTGAGTCTTTATACATGAAAGTACATAGTTGCCTTTAAAGTTTAGGATGGGGTCACTTGCATGAGGATGATCACATGTAGTTGTCTGTGACGTATGAAAGATTGAAAAACCCTGGTATAGTGCTTCTGATCATCCACGCACACACACACACTTTACTGTGTATTTCCAGTGGTGCAGCTCAGAGTGGGAGGAAGTGTGTTCCCAGCGCAGTGACAGTGAGGAATCAGAGCCATCTGCTTTAGACACCTGCATTGCTGCCCTTCAGGAGCAAGAGGAACAGAGCGTGCTCACAGAGAACCCGTCCCACGCAGAGTGAGAGATTGTGATTGATACTGTCGCCCCATGATATCTCAAACTGAACCATCATGTTTCAGGGATTAGTTGATGTCATTCATAAGTTGATTATTGACACGTTTATTTACATATACTTCCATGTACTTTCTGTGTTTATTTTTTCGTGATGATTGACTATCATGATAGACTCTTTGAAGAGGCTGCTGAAGGTCTTCATCAGTTAGCAGACAAACTTCCTCCTCCAGGTACTATTTTAGAATATTAAATGGTTTTGGGCATTCTAAAGTTATCATAGTAATATTTTCTTTATTTTGTTTTACACATTTGAGAATATTTGCTAACAGCAAATAATGTAATCATAGTGTTACTATGCTTTTTTTATTGTATTGATGTAATGTTTGTTCTTGATTGCAGGGAAGTCTTTGCTCGATGTGATTGTTCTGTGTGTGGATGAGGAGGCAGAGTTGAAGGATATGTTGCCTGTGATTGGCTCTTTGAAGCGCTTGAGGGCATGGCATTCGACACAGATGATCATGGTCACTGAACACAATGCAGGGTAAAATCCAATATTCTCCAGTAATAATATCACCGTTCTTGAGATAATAGACCTGTCCTTTCTATTTATGAGTTCTTCTATTCCTAATGGCCCTGTGTCTCTTGTTTCTGCACTATAAAGGTGGCAGAAAGCAGCCATGTACCTAGATTCCCGCTTATGTTCTCCATCAGTGATTGACAGCTCTGTGGATGGGAGAGCGATCTGGAGAGGTGGACTTCACATTAGAGAGAAAAAGGTACATTATACTGATCTAAAGCCCCTTTGTTTAAATATGTTTAATCAAACAAAGAAATTTATGAGGTTAAAAGTGAAGTGTGCAGAATTGCAGAGTAATTGCAGAAATGCTGGTTTATAGTATTTTTATAGTTTTATATTTATATATATATATATATGTATATATATATATATACTGTATTTAAATAAAAACTAAATATTGACATTAGATGAAAAGCTCAACTACAACTAACTGAAATGACAGTAAATAAAGATACTAAATTTATGGAGCTAAAACTGAAATATACTCTAAAAAATTACTACAATTTAAAATTCAAAATTGTAATAAATACTATAATATAGAAGTAATACTAAAATAACACTGTGCAAAAAAATATCAACCTATGAATTGCTTTTTCATAATTGTCTGTTAATTGTCTGTAATTGTTAAAATTAACCATGGATAAAAAAACAGCGCTTTAATAAAAAAAAAA